TATTCTGTTCAGCTCTTTTACTTCATTATTTCTTCCTTTCGCTTTAGCTACTCTATGTTCAAAAGCAAGTTTCAGAGTCTCTTCTGACATCCATTTTGGTCTTTTCTTTCTTTCCTGTCTTTTTAATGACCTTTTGCTTTCTTTATGTATGATGTCTTTGATGTCATCCCACAACTCATCTGGACTTTGATCATTAGTATTCAATGTGTCAAATCTATTCTTAAGATCTTCTCTAAATTCAGGTGGAATATACTCAAGGTTGTACTTTGGCTCTTGTGGACTTGTTTTAATTTTTATCAGCTTCAGCTTGAACTTGCATATGAGCAATTGATGGTCTGTTCCTCAGTTGGCCCCTGGCATTGTTCTGACTGATGATATTGAGTTTTTCCATCATCTCTTTCCACAGATGTAGTTGATTTGATTTCTGTGTATTTCATCTGGCGAGGTCCACATATGTAGTTGCATTTATGTTGTTGGAAAAAGGTATTTGCAATGAATAAGTCATTGGTTTGTGCAAAATTCTGTCTTGCGATCTCCGGTGTTGTTTCTATCACCAAGGCCATCTTTTCCAACTATAGATCCTTCTTCTTTGTTTCCACCTTTTGCATTCCAATCACCAGTAATTATCAATGCATCTTGATTGCATGTTTGATCAATTTTAGACTGCAGAAGTTGGTAAAAATCTTCAACTTCTTCTTCTTTGGCATTAGTGGTTGGTGTGTAAATTTGAATAATAGTAGTATTAACTGGCCTTCCTTGTACAACAAGCTAGATAAACATAAATAGAAATCTTAATATTTTACTCCATAACCTCAGAGGACCTCCTTGTGCACCCCACTTTGGAGACCACACTTCAGGAGAATGCTGAAATGCTGCCTTTTATTGGAATAGGAATTCATACACTAGAGATTTCAGAATTCCAGAAGGCTAAATTTCTACTGGGTGTATTTAGAGTTATTGATGTGTAGAAATGCATTACAGGAAGAACTGATTCTCTGACTCCAGTTCATTTTGGCACCCTGGACAGTGCTCACCTCCTCACAGAAGAAGTTGTTAGGTGCCGTGGAGCCCATTCTAACTCATAGCGACCCCATGTGACAGAGTAGAACTTCCCCATAGAGGATGGGAGTGAAAAATCCCTTTCCTAAATGGTGAATTGAGAGCAGTTCTCCTTCTGAATGCTGAAATGATCAAGGAGGGAGCGAGGGAAACCAATTTGTTCTGTGCAACAAACTCAAAATGTAGACCAGTTCCCTGGGCTCCCATTAAACTAATTAAACTGATTGGTATCACAATCCTGCCCCAGGATGAACTGAAGCAGAGTCAAGTTGATGAGGTTAAACATAACCATGTTCTTGAGCAGCTGAATCATCCACCAACAGTCCAAGCCATCTGGCCCAACATATGCACTGGGCATTGAGTAAGGGAATCCAGGAGCAATAGCTAGAAAGAGAAAAAGGCCCTCTTCAACCTCTGTGATGATTCTATCCTCTAATGTTTCAAAATAAAACCAGAAAGAGGAATGAAATGATTGAGTGCTTGAGGTCAAATGAGCTCCCTAGATTTAAATAACCCAGAATCAGAGGCAGGAGACTTCCTGCTGCCTGGGTTTCGGTGGAAGTCCTCTCTTTCTCTGTCATCCCCAGGCACTGTGGTTTGGTTTGTGGGTCCAGGAAGCTGGGCTGGATAAGAGAGGAAATGGACTTGAGTTTGGATAATTTGTATAAAATGCTACTGGACACATGTCTTCATGCACAGCCCTAGGTGTCTCTCGATGTTTTGAAAAGTATAGATTGTTTTAGGGTTACTTTGTATGCTTTAAAAAAAAATCCCATTGTTGCAATTTACTTGGAATTTGCTTAGTCCTGAACAGGCCTGTGTCATTCCCTTCTCCTCCAGTACAATAAATAAAAGAAAGATGCTAAAAATTTGGGGTATGTGGGTGTGTCCCCAGGGTGTGAAAAGACCATTTGAAGAAAGGAATGCCAGGGAATTAAAAAATATATTTACATGTACATATACATATATATACATGCATGACTATATGTATGTATTATATGTATGTGTGTGTGTAT